CCCTTAGGCCCCCATGCGCCTGCCAGCCCCCTGCCCTGGACGCATCTCTGCAGCTGGGCCCTGGCAGGGGGGCCGGATTCACACTGGGATCTCGAGAGGCTCCGCCGGAGCCAGCGGAGCCCCAGGCCGTGGCAGGAGGCAGTTACGGCACAGCCCCGTGTTGGAGCGAGTGCTTTGCCATGGTGGCAGGCTGCCACCGGCTCCCCCCTGCCCGGCGCTAATGAGCGAGCTGCACAATGAGGAGCTTTCATTCCTCGTTAATCGGTGCCAGCATCGCGCCCCGGTCCCCGCCATCTCCGTGCACGCTCCGGCCGGCCAGCAGCCCCCCGGCTCCCTCCTTGCCCCTCCTTATCTGCCTTTTCTAGTGCTCTAATGGGGTTTCTTGCCTGGCTTGCACTGGCTTAATGAAAAGCTGCACTGAGTTGATGCCTTGTGACGGCCTAATCCCAACCCGGTGACTGTACAAAGCTTTCGCCGAGCTTTCTTGCTGCCCCACTCCGGCCTTGCTGCCCGTGTGTCCGTGTGCTCCGGCAGCCCCCAGCCCCACGCGCTGACCCCTTGAGCACAGCTTAGCTATTCCTTTCTCTGGTGAGTATTTGGGAGTCTTTTCATATTAACTGCTTTGCCTCAGAGTCCCTAATCCAGCCCCCCTTAACCTGTCGCCTCCAGGGCTGTGTTTGCTGTTAATTTGCAATTCCTCAGCAAGGCAGCCCCTCATCCCTTCTGCAAGGTAAAGGTTTCCTGGCCAGGGAACGGGAGGAAGAAGAAGCCCTTGGGAAATGCTAGGATCCTTTTGGTTGCGCTAGAGCCCAGTCTCGGGCATCAGGACGGGCTCAGGGGTTGAGGAGATGCCTGGCTCTGCAGGCAGGCGCAGCGAGGGATCCGTGACTCCCACAGTCGCTGCTGTGGTGGGACAGGCTCCGGGGGAAGCACAGGGCTCTGCGACCACACTGCGACCCAACCATGCTGGGATGCTGGTGCACAGGGATGGCAATTCCCAGGGGATCCGGTGACGGCTGCAGAGAAGGTGGGTCTGTGTGGAGGGTCCCTTAGTCTCCGCAGCAGGATCAGACACTGCGGTAAAGAAGGGTCCCCTCCTCTCCACCTGCAAAATTGGGATGTTTCATCCAGCACTTGTTAAAAAGGGGTCAAGTTGTTTCATCACCCAGTGTCTGGAGGTCCAGGCTTACAAGAAGTGATGAGCTTGGGACTGGAATAGCAGCATGTTTGACACGTCGTTGTGAAACACCTGGGGAAATGAGAGGTAATAAAACCTCCAGCCAGCCTGGAGAGTTGCTCTGCAGTACGAAGATGAAGCGTTGCCTGAGAATTCCTGCCTCATCCTCACTGACTCCATGCTGAAGACCTCAGATTGGCGGGCAAAGAGCCCTGGAGCCAAGGAGAGCCTTTCGGAAGAGGGCACCAACATCCTGCTCCCGCCGGCTCAGCTCGGAGCTGCGGGCAGTGCTGGACGGGTCTTTGCATGGGGACTTGCTGGGTGAGAGCTCCCCATGCCCATGTGGTGTCCCCGGAGCAGCGTGTCCCGCTGTGGACCAGGCTGACGTGGAACTTCTGCTGCCTCCCTGCTGCCATGAACTGGACATTGATGTCTGTATGTGTGAACATGCCTGAGGGGGAACCGCGCTGGATAAGCCCCGGGATTGCAGGTCCCCGTGACTTAGTGAAACCCTTGGATGAGTCTGCCCACCACCTCCGGTGGAAATGCAGGCCCTGAAACAATGGTGGAGTCAGAAGACCAAAAGCCACATTTTTAAGCTGCTTTGAAAATGTCCCTAGTGTTTCTCAAAGATGCTCAGTTTCTATTGGACACAAAGAGACACAGGCACTAGGTGACTGAGCCAAGAGGAGGCCAAGAGAAGGTCTGCTGGGAATCCACCTCTCTCCCAGCACAGTCCTTGCTGTCCCGGCTGAGCAGGGCCTGAGCAGAAGGATTGGGGACCTGGCCAGGGCATTGCCAGTGGGCACCGGGGCTCTGCAGGGCCTTCAAACACTACTGGGATCCTCGTGCTCTCCTTTAGGTAACCGGGTTACCTTCTGCTCTCTTCCAGCGTCCCAAGGCCGAAAAAGCACGACATGTCTGCAGTTGTGAGTACTGGCTCCGCACCGCGCGGTCCCTGGGCTCTGAGCACCTCCTCTCCACGCGCTGGGCACCCGAGCACCCTTCGTCCCCCGCTAGCCCTCGGCAGGCTGGGCTGAGTGCCCTGGGGAAGCACTGGTGACTGCCCCGTGCTGGGCCTCAAGGAGCCTCAGAACTCTTCCCACCCCGGACCTCATCCCATTGCATCCCATTGGATGCAGCACGGAGGCCTTGCCCATCCCCAGAGCCCCCAGATCCCCTGCTTTGCCCCAGCAGGGCCCCTTGTTGCTGCGGGGCAGGTCGCACTGGTGGGGAGGCTGGGTATGGGCAGGGGTGATACCAACCCCACGGCCTCTCCTTGCCCCCAGACGGGCACGTTCCGTGTCGTCTCCGAGGAGGAGCAGGCCCTGCGCACCAAGCTGGAGCGCCTCACCACCAAGGACCATGGCCCCGTGTTCGGGCAGTGCGAGAAGATCCCCCCGCACACCCTGCAGAAGGTGAGTCCGGGCAGGAGGCACAGCCAGGGCACACGTACCTGCGCCAGGGCACGGGGATCAGCACCATGCGGGTCCAAAGAAACCCTTGCAAACGTGAGAGCAGCACTGCCCCAAGCAGGGATGGGCTGGGGCAAACAGGGCTTGTGATGGTGCAGAACTGAGTTGACTCCACTCTAAAAGGTCCTCAGTGAGCAGCACCGCAACCAGCCATTTTTTGCTTCCAAAGCGACACCTGACCTCGCTTTCCTGAGCGCGGTGCCAGCTTTGGAACCCCGGCATGGTGCAGGGTGCTGAGCCTCTCTCTTCCCTTGCGAGGCGAAAGACGAGCTGAACGAGACGGAGGAGCAGCGGGAGGCGGCGGTGAAGGAGCTGCGGGAGCTGGTGCAGGAGCGGGCTGGCGGCGAGGACGTGTGCAAGGCAGTGGCCAAGAAGGTGCAGGGCAAAGACGACTCCTTCTTCCTTCGCTTCATCCGCGCCCGCAAGTTCGACGTCCACAGGGCCTATGATTTACTGAAAGGTGGGGGCTCTCCCACATCCCCCTTGCGCTGCCAGCTCCCAGGACGGCAGCTCCCTGCCACTTGCCAGGGCTTCCCAGCGCCCAGC